CTTATGTGGTGCTGAGGAATTGAACCCAGGGCCTCGAGCATGCAAGGCAAGCGCTCTACCACTGAGCCACCTTCCCAGCCCCTCATATGATCCTTTTGTTCCCACCAGTACTGTGATCACAAAAAGCTTGGGTCTTGTGGGTGACAAGTGATCGTGACATTTAGACAAGTAAAACCCTGCATTCTTAATCCGTGTACTGCATATAGGTAAAATATAATTATTATTTTCTTTTTTAGGTTAATATTGAAAAGAAAGCAGCATGGAGAGCTCAAAAAGTCAGTTTATTTGCAATATGATGTGATACCATATACAAAAATAAAAGATTGATTAAAAGCAAGTATTTTTTTAAATTGAAATGCTTTCCTTCTCAATATTAAGGGTTCCTTTCAGAGAGGTGAGTGCATGCCTATTGCTCAGGATAGGATAGATTCTTTTGTGGTATACAACAAGCTTCAAATCTCAGTGGCTTACTCCATCAGATATTTTTTCTTTTAATATTTTTTACTACATATATTTTTATCTTTTTTATTGACATCAATTAGTTGTACAATGGGATTACATTTAAAAATAAGAATGCAAGTAATTTGTTTGGGATATAACCATGTGCATCACTGATAAGAAGTTGGAGAAGTGAGTTTGGAAAGAGGAAAACTCCCCAAAATACACATTATTAAATAATATACAATTATGGGAGAATAAATCACATTATATGAGAAAAAGAGTTAATGTATGTACACAATGCTTCTGGTTATGGCTACTCCTCTACAATTCTCATCTAAAGTATGGAGCTGGCCAAGTGATTTTCTGTGCAGGTCTTTTCCATGTAGTGACACAGGATCCAGGGTTTGACACCTGTATGCCTGGCTTTAAAGGTGGCTACACCAAGAGAAGAGCATGCCTGGAGATGGCACATTGGTTCTTTTGTTCTTTGGATCAGAAGTGACATGTTAAAGGAACTGGGTTGTGTAGTCTTCTCTGTTTGACAAATTGAGAAGAGACAGGAATGGGGGATAACTACCCCTATCTGTGCAGTTCTTAGGTTTGTCAAAAATGTGTAGTTGAAATAAAGTTAGAGAAACAATTTAGACTTCCTCTGTTATGGCTACTGCTACCAGCAGACACATGTTGAGGCTTTGTTATGTGCTATATTACATTGTTTTGTGTTTGCAACAATCATCTGAGGTAAGTATTAGAAATGTCCTCAATTTATAGATAAAATGTAAATGTAGAGAAAAATAACTTATCCAAGTTTACACAACTTAATCAGTGATGGAGCTGGGTTTTTATGCTGACTGAACTGTCAATAGAATCTTGGTATTATTGGAAGATCATACTTCCTAAATGTTAGATTAAAAGAATGACAAGTTTGGGGCTGGGGCATGTTTCAAGTGGTAAAGCACATGCCTACTAAGCATGGGGCCCTGTGTTCAAACCCCAATACCACACAAAAAAAGTTTTGATGGAATGATTAAGAATGTCACTTAGTATAACTAGAATTCTTATTCTTAATTAGGAACTATTTTTCTAAATATTAATAGTTTTTGTGCAATATAAGATTTCCACTTGTTTTAGCCAGCTTTCTATCACTAAAATAAAATGCCCAAGGTAATAGGTTTTGAAGAGAAAAGTTTTATTTTGGCTCCCAGTTTTGGAGGGTCCAGT